TATATCATGACTTTGAGGAAGTTTTCAAAGCTTAAAAGTCCCCCAGAGATCGAGGTACTTTTCGACCTGTCCCATATTATGAGTTCCTGTAGGGCCACTCCGCCGTAGTCGAGGAAGCTACACTTACGTTGTCTTGAGGAAGGATATCGCTTGCCATGGCAGAGAGTTCCTTTTGCATCAGCGCTTCCAGGCTGGACTTATTCAACTCGGAAGTAGGCAATGTATAGGTCGGCCACCAGCACAGAATGACGGCCCTTTACTCAAGCTTCTTGAGGCGCAGCCGAACGTAACCACCAGTAAGTTGGCAACCTCTCTAGGCTCCACCTAACTGACAACTGCCATGCTTCTCCGCAGTCTCGGTTATCGGAAAAATTTTTTATGAAGGATGCCTCATGAGTTGAACCCCTCTGACAAGTCATACCGAATGACCGTGACTGAGTTTTTTTTCCTTGTACACACTGGAGGAACATTTGTGAGATCTTGTGGTTGGTAGAGAGTGGTGGGGTCCTTGCGTACATCTTGCACATGTTCCTCGCAGGATCTCTCAAACAGAAAAGTAGATTGCACAGCCAAAAGCAGATGTGCATGGGATAAAGATTTCAGTAGGTTATTGGTGGGACTTCAAAGCGGTATCTCTGGATACTAGCATAACGGTAAGGACTACAGTCCACTCTAACCAACCTCACAACATGGATGACGTCACGCTTGAATTCTTCAAAAATACTCAATTTTTCTCTACCGCTCGGCAATGCGAAGACCGCATGTTAGGATCAGGCCACACCAAAAGATCGTGGATCTTGATCTGAGAATGCGACCATACCCAGCTTATTCATCAAAGTTAGCAGTCTCTAACTACTACCTTTTTTGATCCCTACCGCATCCTTAAGAAGGCAAAAATTCCGAAAATCGACGTCTACTCAAAAATGAGGTCCACCTCTTCTTCTTATCATAGTTGCCGTAGTTCTATAAGAATGGAAATGAGAAGCTGTGCAAAAGAAGGGCACTAGTCCTAGTCCTTAGTGGTGATTACCTTGTAGATTGGAGATGTCTTTTAGTGACTGAAAATTTAGTCCGAAAAATTGGTCAAAGTGTCGCAGGACTTTTCGAACAACCTAATACAAATCAGGTTTTCACCCCCCCCCCCTCTAGCGATTCTGATAGCTTGAAAACAAATAAGACAAATTGCCGCTAGCTTATTTAACGGGCCTGGGCGACGACCGATTCGGCATTCGACCATCGGACGCGCTTTGGAAGCGTGTCACTTGTCACCCACGACACCAGGTGGTGCCTCACATCACCAGCTCGCCCATTTAATCTTCAAATTCTTGAGTGAAAGCAAAACAGTAGTTGGGAACGTAGCCTCGTAGATATCATTGATCTCATAGAGTTTATTGAAGCAGAGAACGATGTAGTACTGCTACATAGATCTTTGCTACAATAAGAACACTTCCGCGCGCAGTCATTGCGAGCTGAACCCTCAATGAGTATCCCTTAACTGTACCAATCGTTGCGGACATTTACGACCAAGTGCTAGCTTACTGCTTTCTAGAATATTTATTCTCATTTATCTTTTCTGTGCTGCACGTGCGAGGGTGTTCATTTGAGCAGCTTCAGCTATTAAAACGTGAAGACGATCACTAGCAGCCAAATGTTTGCGGTAGCATAAAATGCAGTTTTGTTTCCACTTTGGTAACGTTTGTTTTTTCAAAGAAACCGACGAACGATACTGGGCAGCTCGCATTCTACGCACTTTGCCGCTTTTGGATCGGGATACGGACGACTGGTTTTATGACTTCGTCCAAGCTTGCTCAGGAGATCCATACAATCGTGCGGTGCTCTGGTATTTGTTACCAAACTACGAAGAAGTTCTTGGTGAGCATTTCGTTGTCTTTGAATGTGTGGCATTTTCTAACGTCGTTCCCACCACAGCGGTGCTCTCCTTCCCTCCTGGAAAAACATGATCTGAACTCGTTCGAATCAGCGAAACCGGAACGATTTTATGCATTTTTTGGGGAAATATGCAGCAAAAGGCGATGAAAGAGTGAAAGAATCATATCCATTGATAAAAATACAGGGGGGGGGGCAAAAAAAGACACTTTTCTTCCTTGACTTTCGAGGCGCTATAAGTTACACTTTATTGAATTCTGATCGGACATTTCACCACCATATTAAAGAGCATATTGTATACTATCACGATACTCCGCCACAGCCTTCTGGACGAGCGCCATCGAGAGATTCTGCCACGCGACCGTGGTGCCTGAGTTCAGCGAGATCGTTGATTTCTCCGCCACTGTAGACCACCCTGTTGAGCTCCGCCCGAGCCGGGTAATTGAGGGGGCTCAGGTCAGGACACTTACAAGGGAACCCCAACAGGTCGATCCGGCCATTTGCAATGAGATGTATATGTATGGACGTGTCTTGAGCCGCTGAATCCAAATCTGCCCTCGGAATTTGCGGAACGATTCTCTGAAGGGAGTTACGGACCATTTAATCTTTGCTCTGTTGCACAAGTTGAGAACGATAACTGCATGCGGCAAGCGGCCGATGGCCTAGTGGATAGCGCACTGCTTCAGAGACACGAGGTCGCATGTTGGAATCCTTGACTCTCGAAAATTTTTGCTTTTATTCAAAACACTTCATATGAGTCCCTAAAACGCTTCTATTTAGCCAGTTAACCTGGTTCTCTACGGATAGCTTCGGGCGCAACATTATGACAGAACAAGAAAGCGACAACTGGCTGTTTTTCGTGCGGCCACGTGTTGGTAGATCATAATCATGGGTGCTGACCATATCGGACGATTTTGCACAGAACACATAGACAGGATTTCGTTCAAAATTAACACTGCTTTCTCTCCGAACTCGTGGAGTACTGTAACTGTACCGCGCGTGGGGAATACTTCTGGCACTATTCAACTATTACTACCCCAAGAATTCGAAATTTTTTTTTCGCTGAAACTTTGCTCGCTAGCGGTTGGCGCCAGTTTGGCGCTGCCGCATTTCTCACAAATTCGACGTAAAATTGCATAGTAGGGTTATTTGATGTCCTGATCATGAATACAGCATGTTCTCAGCGATGGCGCCATTTGACGCCAATATGGCACCGGTGTCTGTAATGCGGCTCCAGGTGGTTTCAGACCGAGCGAACGAATTACCACTATAACTCAACTTTCAGTCAAATCTGCCGCCGTAGAAGAAATCCGGCTTGTTTCCAGAAAATTGGGATAGTAAATAGTTGAATAGTGCCGTACTTTTGTATTCGCTGTGCTCATTGTGAGAGCTTGTTTTGTTTCCACCATTTCGTGGAGGTATACCACATGTGCTCTCAAACCATGAGATCTTCATTTCTGATGTCTGATGATGTCAAATAATTAAAGAACTAGGTAATTGGCCAAACAGAAGTGTTTTAGGGACTCATATGAAGTGTTTTGAATAAAAGCAAAAATTTTCGAGAGTCAAGGAATCCAACATGCGACCTTGTGTCTCTGAAGCAGTGCGCCTATCCACTACGCCATCGGCCGCTCACCGCATACAGTCGTTCTCAACTTGAGCGAGAGCAGTGAATAAATGGTCCGTAACTCCCTTTCAGAGAATCGTTCCGCAAATTCCGAGGGCAGATTTGATTCAGCGGCTCAAGACACGTCCATATATATACATCTCATTGCAAATGGCCGGATCGACCTGTTGGGGTTCCCTTGTTAGATATTCCGTCTTCTTCAGGTACTCACGCCCTTCCATTCCAAGTAGGCGAGAGTTTTTCCAACGCCCTTCGATTCCGTGTGGAGGCACCCAATCCTGTAGCAGTACGAAGTCTCCAAGAAGGTACAGGCGATGACATGAAGGCAGGATATTCTCCACGAGTTGGTCAATGTAACCGTCAGCGTTCATTCTCAGTCCGGGCCTTGGCGACTGCGGTGAAGATGATATCCTGGACCGTAGCGACGTTGTCGGAGCTGCTCGATGTTGGAGGTCTTCCAGATCGAGAGTACTGGTCTCCAGGTAGCTATCCATGGGTGACTCCATACAAGAAGTTTCGCAGCTGTTTGGAGGTGACGTGAATTCCAAAGGTCTTCTCCAGTCAGGCTGCGACTGGAGATGACTTCATATTTTGGTGTACATGAAGGTGATGGGCGAGAGCCTGCTCCTGCTTATCGAGGAACATCTTGGGTATCTTCCGCCCTGGGTATCCACGTCCTCTGTCTGGGCTGCGAAAACTTTGCTGATATGTGACTCGGTCGAAGTGACTTTTTTTGCCCCCCCCCCTCCCCCCTGTGTATGAAAACCATCTTTATTGCATTACTTACCACTTCTTACACTATTCTGCCAAGTATTAGAGGCTCAGTATATGAGCTCTTCACCTATCTCCTTCAGCTCTGTATGTCAAGCGATTTATTGGGTGGGGTATATTGTGTTTTCAACGATGTAATTCACGAAATCTAACAATCGAGGAGATGCGGGCTGATATCAAACAAAAAGAAGGAAATGAGTACAAAGTTGAAGGTGAAGATATTATGTCGATGGTGCTATGCTATACATAAAGCTTTCCGTGTGGTGCACGCAACACCACACGGAAAGCTTGCTTTAGTGAAACTCATTGCTTATACATATCAAGCAGGCAGATAATTCAAAGAAGAAGGCTCAGACCACAGTGGGCTCTTTGACAAAGTTGGACACTTTCTTTTTCTAGAGAATCGCGCAATCGAAAGGCGCCGCCGACGAACTGGTAAAAGTGTGAGGGATGACGAGTTCCTTGGAGCTGTGCCGGAGATCACTGAAATGCGTAAACCAAGTGACTATGCCAACTTCAGGACAAGAAGTGAGTGACTTAAGTAAGCTGGTAGAGAACATTGGGGCGTTATGTAATGAAGTTGATATTCAAGATTCCTTTTGAACATTAGATGGCAAAGGATTTTAGAGAAGACCGAACCTCACCTTTAGGAGCCAACTTAAACAGTTTCGAAGGGTAGTTGAACTTGAACGAAGGAAAACAAATTTTGAAATCGTTTCCCATAACGGTCCGTAATCATGTGCATATCACTCACATGGAAGCGCTCTCCCTGCAGAAGGCTTCTGTGGTTCTACAGTGTCTATTACCAAACATCTTTCACTTCTCAGGTTGAAGTGTGTTGTGAAACCAATAAAATCTACATTTTGTAGCGCTGATCTCAGACTGCTTCCGAAATCTGCCGAGCATTTTTCCGTGAGGAGTTATAAAGGAGTGCAGTGTTTGTGTCCAGGTGCTGGAGCGATTTTCTGGCCATCTCTGAAATTTTGTCCGGTCCTATGTACTGTCGTGGGCTCTACCCAGTGTTAAAGCCAACGCAATACAGAGGCGCAATCCAGGAAAAGGATTGACTTTTAGCCATGTTTCTGCAAAAAAAAGCACATCGTGCCCACACATCTGATGGCAAACAAAACTGTCTTCATCCTGCCGCTTCACTTTGCATTCAAAACTGTTTATACACGGCTGCAACCTTAAGATGCTTTACCTTGCAAGCTCTGGAAATATGCCTTCCACTCTGTTACCACCTCACATTTCCTGATGATGAAAAAGTAATTACATCCAATGACTAATCATTTTGATGATATTCGAGCCATCGAGTCACCAGCGGCCGCTGTTCACCCTTTTTTGCGGAGTAAGGGCGAAATTTTTCGTTTTGACTAGAATTTCGTTTCTAGAGGTAGTTTGAGGTTTTTAAAACGAATATAGTTTTCGTTATGCGCAAATATTTGTGGAGTGCACCACGAGCGCTGACATGCCATAGTCTTCTTTTATGCCGGAATCCGCCTACCCTTGTTGAAAATATAGAATTGGTTGCCTAGCATTACCGTCGATCTTACGACTTTTTGCCTGTGAGACAAACACACTTCCATCGCCATGTGATGTCACATAGATGCCTCTCTTCATCCTTAAAGGCACGAGTAGGATTAATACGCTTGAGACGGAGTTTCGCGATCCTGCGCAGACGCTACATAGCGCCTTTTGCGAGAAAGGGCCCTCAAGGCTCTGTCAAGCTACTACATTACGACCCGAACGCCCAGCGCGCACCCGCCCACAAATGGACGACTGTACGTGGTGCTCGTATTGCTTCATTTGCTAGGTAAAATATGAAGCGAAAGGACTGATATAAAATGGATATATGAGTTCATACATGCAGCCTATCTACCGTAGCCGTTATTGGCACCATGCCAACGAGGAACTCGTCCGGAATAGCTTCCTGAGTTGTGTAGAAGCAATGTTTTTTTGCAGGTTTCGACCGTGTCACTTCGTTTTTTCGCCATTTTTCCCCCACTTTTTAGGGTTGTGCTAGCATTTAAGGGCGAGTACCACATTGTCGTACCAATGCCTTCAATATAGGGGCACTTCCAAGTGCTGAAATGTGGAACAGCGCGAAGACAAAACTTTGTTAACTCCGGAACTTCAGAAGAACACTCGACAGGTTTTGAAGCGCAGCTTTGAGATCAGCATCTGACAATACGTCAGGCGTGATTCTTTCTAAAAGTAACAACTTTAAGCTGAGGACCTTCCCTAGTTAGCTATGGCCTTCACTCTTTCCCATATTTGAACTGCGTCATGTTGACATCTGTACTTTAACTATTGTGCTTGATAGAAGTCAAAAATACTTCTTCTAGTGTACGATGACATACAAGAGGCAGAACAACTCAGGCTGCGGCCATATCAAGAGGAATTGGTCGGCTCATATGTTTTCTCCACTTTGAGGTACTACTTTCGAGAACTTATTGCTCTTCAGGTTGAAGCAGCCCTTCAAGGCAAGAACACCATAGCATGCGCCCCCACAGGATCCGGCAAAACCGAGGTATCCATTTATGTCGCCATGTCCCATTTGGATGAGAAAGCGGCGAAGAATCAACCGGCCAGGGTGAGTTATAGACTATGTCATTGGAGTACTTCGGGCAAGGCCCGAAATCGCCATTCGTAGGCAGCAAAGTTCACCTACGTGGAAGGGGTTCTAAGTAGCTCAACAGTAAAGAGAAAGATGAGAAAAAAATAGCGCATGGAATATTATCCATGTTGGTTCTCACGGTAAGCAGTAATGGGTAATGGGATCATACAGTGAAGAGACAAGGAGCGCTGAAAAGAGTAAGCAGGAAAAGTAAGTGATCTTTTTGCGAATGGTACAGAAATGATTGGAACCTCATCTCTGAGGATGCGAAAAATATGCCTTAAAACAAACTGTACACCCACCTCTCTCCCATAAGCAAATGGTTGGGTCCGGAGCTACAATAGCGTGCCACTTTCTCCATTTGAAGATACCGTTCGCTCATGCTATCCTCAACTTGCGGCGCTTGCGTCCATGCCGTGATCTAGCAGCGAAACACGCACTCAGCGGTAGGGTACGATTAGAAATGAGAGCGCAGACAAGCAGCGCATTTGGCTATGGTCAGGCGTGTAGTGGTTCGCGGCAGCGGGGACGGCATATAGAGACGTTACCTGGGTATCACTAGTCTCCAACTCTGCCCCCTCCCGTGCACTTTTGATTGAAGGAAAACGCACACTGCTGCAGCTGCACACCCACCCTCACCTTACACTTGACAAGGGCCAGGATCCACGGAGGTTATACGGCTTATTCTTAACCTGGGCAATACCGCAGGGCCTCGAGTCGTCTAGATGGAGATTACTCTTCCTATTTTGAGCGCGATATCGTGTCTTGGATGTTGTGAACTACCCGCTATTATATGAGAGCTTACTTGATTAAGGTCGCAATGTTAGTGCCGAGAATTCCTTTGGTCGACCAGCAAAAGTACAGGTTCCACAAGTACGTGCGAGGCAGGTAAGCAGCGCAAACGTTTTCTACAGCGCATAACCCCTGAGCAGGAATGCCAGTCATTTTTTCTCATACATTGAGGGCACCTTCTTCTTTCAGGTACTATGTAGAAGGGTTCCACGGCTCTGGGCTCAAGGGCGCCTCGCGTCGCGATATAGTGCTCGCGTGCGATATAGTCGTGATGACTCCGCAGATCTTACTGTGAGTCTGACGTGTTCCGGGTTTCCTTTTTGACTACCGTTTTTTTTGAATTGTATGGAAAATTAGAATCATTCATTTTTAACAAGAAATGTCAGGTTAGAATAAAGCGAAATCAGTTTTAAGTATCCAATATTTTTCGTGTTGAAATCCATGGCGTCATGCCGACAGATAACCAGTGGAGAATCTCTTCTTCCATCTTTCCATGTAGGGTTCATTCAATCTACGGAGTAGAACTTACCAGGAAAGTCAATCATGTCATCCAGCACTTTGAAAACGGTTCTTTGCGTTATGTAGGGGCATGACTGGACTGACGAACACAGACTATTTTTTGCTGAACCAAACAGGATGTCACTTGAGTATGTGGTCATGACAGCGGAAATTGCTTCAAGAGTAAGAGCTGCTTTTGTTCCTACCGGATCCCAGTGATTAGTGTGGTTCCTTGGTGGCAGAGAATAGCTTTCACGGCTCGCTTTCCCATGACAACTTGATTTGCATTTTTTTCGGTGAAGCTGGAGCAAGCTCCTAAGCCACCATGGTAAAACTGTCGACTCAAGAAAAATGTATCGAAATGGGTTGACACTTCGATGGAAAGCAAAATGCCCCCCCCCATTCCGTCGCCGAAGCGCCGTCCGGATACGTCTACGCATAAGTGCAACTAAGACAAATGCCATTTATGGGCACTTTTATTTATTTATTCGTTTTTTTATTCTGTGGACATATTGAAGAGCATGTGAGATCAGAATAATCGTGCCACAAGTGAAGCTCAATACAATTACAAATACACTGATACGTTTTTTGGGAGTCGCAGTTGCAGTTCAGGGGAATTTTTTTTGCCATCTCTAGCAATATTAATGTGTGATATTTATGATATTCGAAATCCAGTGATTTATGGCCGTCAAAGCTCGAACAGTCAAAGTCGAACAAACTTTGTAAATGTTGTCCCTGCTCCACTTTTGTCAGACGACCACAGGGAAAAAAGATCCTCTGCACTTATTTTCACTTAATTTTCAATAATTTTGAACACCATTAGCCATCACCCAGCAAATCAGTAAAAGGTCGACAGTGTCGGCAAAGGCCACCCAGACATATACCACATGAAAGGAACTAGGAACAGTAAACTGGCAATAGTGCAGGCTGGCCGTACATATTGCGTCGCCGCTGCTACGGTGATATGAAGCGCCGGTCGCCATTCTCGACTAAAAGGATACTCAAAAAAAAGTCGGACAACCTTCATTTGGCTTAATAATTGTCTGTGATCGATGTCGCCTACCACGATTTCGGCAAGCATCTTTGGCAGCGACGCAGCTCGGTTTCTCTGAGTGACCCAGCATGTGCTTCTTCGATGGAAAAAAGAGTTTTTGTTTTACCAGTCAGATCTCTTCCTGGTGGGTGGAAGAAACAGATCAATGCCGAGTATTCCTCCCACCTATTCAGCTGAGCAGCACTTCTAAGGCAGTAGGCTTGGAAGTGGGGGTCCACCACCGGATGCTGTGACGCGCTATGAGCGATTTAACGGTCTAACCTCAGCTGCTTTCAATTGTTACTCCTTTCAGCCACCAAGCTAATATTCGCGCGACATCCTTTAAATCACCTGTTATCAATCCTTCTGTTGCTGTATTGTGAGCTGTTCGGTAACGTTCCCTTGTAGCGTCCCTTAACAAATCTTATCAGCTGCTATCAATTCCTGTGAACCGCAAACCATATCTTGTAATCAACGTACCTCCGTTTCTCCAGCGCGTGCTAGACTATTATAAATGGTAAGATTAATAAATATTCATGTTTTTGGAGCTTTTTGTGGACAAATGACTGTGGATATGGCTACAATGCAAACATATACGAACCCAAAAATGAAAAGTTGTACAAATGCAAAACTTTGTTACCACGGGGATCGAACATCAGCCTGCTGCAGAAATGAGCCTCGGCTTCATAGTCCACGCACGTTTTCCCACACAGGGTACAGCATGGGGATGTGTCAAATGGCGGTGTGGGTACGACCCCCCCCCTCGAAGAGGGTCCAGATACGACCCCCCCTCCTGCTCTAACTGACAACCAGATGCATGTTCACCACAAATGGCTTCCTGAAATGGAATCTGGATTCTCGAAAGGCGCACTCTGCTCTAAAATACAGGAAATAAAAGGCTGTTTCAGCCTCATGCAATATGAGGCTGAACAACAGCCTCGCATTACCTACAATTTTGTCTTAGGATTCAAAATAAAACTCCTCGTTCGATAACTATGTATGACATGCAACTTGTAAAAAGAAACACAAATTGGGAAATAATGAAAACATGCACGACACAACAAAGCGAAACATGGAAAATACAAAAAATGCAGAGCTAAATGAAAAAAGGATAACCAGGCCGGCAGTAAATCGTTCCATACTTGGCTATTATCGATCAGGCTGCAGGGCGCAAGGCTGCGACCGCTTTCTTTGGAAAAACGTCATTGGAGCGCGGTTGTTGGACTTGCCGACGTCCTGGGGTCTGTTCGGGGGTTATATCTTTTTTAAGTGCGGAGCTTTTGAGGAATGGTGAGCAGCATGCAACGGCAAAGTTTTTACTGTTGTGTATTCTACCTAGTTGCTAACTGAACAATCCCCGTTGGTGAAATATTCCGGATGGGTTTTGGATAGGCTAGGGGTAAATCGCGAGCTGGTTTCCATGCTTAGCGCGAGGATTGCTTCGTTGCACGACGCACGGGTAAAAAGCTTTCCTTCAGGAATTAAAGTTCGTCCTGAAAGCCTCTCGCAAATCTTTTTCTGCTTTCCCAAAATAAGACTTTAACAGTTTATTCTGAAGACCCACATCGTTCATGGAATATTTTAGATGGTTTCGTACACGCCCCGTAATAGTGGTGCCACCCCTCTGACCACCCGAAAAATTGACTCCTTATGTGCCATTGTGAGGATACACCTTCGGAAACTTCAGTGTGCCTTCAAAACACATATTTCCCTTCAAATGAGTGAAAGAGAAGCTCGGCTATCTCTGATCGATTTGGTCCGTGCGCCGGTGCACTATGTCTCTCGCTTACGTTCAGAGGTGGTGGAAAGGTGTAAATTCTAATTTCAGGTGCTTTTATCCATGCAAGCAGATGTTTGTTTAGGGTTTGTAAAGGACAACACGAATCTGTTTGAGACGTATTATTTAGTCATCTACGTACTTACGAGTTCATGCTATAAACTGACACTTATTTATTTATTTATTTATTCTTGCTATATTGCTAATAAATCTTTTATTATTTTGTATTCCTATTTACATCCGGGTCTTCTGAAGCTTTCCGTCCGTTCCATTACCCTTAGCAATGACACCTTTGTACTGTTTGATGCCTAGCGAGCCTACTTTTGCGATACTCCCCACGTCCCCCGCGGCCAAGTACGAACCCATTCTTGGGGATTTCCCATGAAAAGAGGGCTGTTAAACGTAGCATTTAAAGCTGTAAAGAATACACTCATAATAAACTTCATTTTTTTAACATCTTGACTTCCATAGCTCCACTCCCACTATCAACTGAAATGTCGAACCATTGCTCGGCTCTGAGTGACCTTGAGATTACGACCCCCCCCCCTCCCCAGCGGCCAAGTACGACCCCGGTTTCGCACAACGATGCTGTACCCTGTTCCCACATCATGCAAAAACCGTCCTGGTAAAAAAGTGTTTTATTTCCTGACGACCTCTGTGGTTGGATCGCGTTCACATTTGCTGGATACGACTTAGCAGCTTTTTTTGTCACTGATGGCGTTTTTAATAAAATCAAACAAGTCATCTTGACTCAAAGGCTCAAAGTGTTTCCCGCGATCAGGGCACATCATTAGCTGGGTATTTTTGTGGAGTCCGTACTACCCCCCCCCCCCTCCTCCCCCTGGTCCCTTCTGATCGAGTTGTCGAGCGGAGGGACATTGCGAGCAAAACGCGACGCCCATCTCTACCATTTCTTAGATCTTCCCCCAACTTCCCACCACTTTTTTCTTACTTGTACCTCAAAATTTTGTTGTCGAGCGGGGAGGCGGGGGGGGCATGTAAAAACCACGAAACTCAGCAACTCCTCTCAGAAAGTGAGAGCGGAAACACGACTCTCCCCCTCCACAATGTCCCTGAAACAAGAAAAATCAAATATCAAACTTATTTTTCCTCAGCCCAAACACGACCCCCTCTCCCAGCGAGCGAACGACCCCCTCCCCCCCCCTGTTGGGGAATCTAAACAACGATGGAGCCTGGCTGCGAGGTTGATTGTGGAAGCAACATCTAATTGCAGGAGATTGTATCATAGGTTCCCGATGGGTCCCGTCAGAAGTTCATTGGACAAATAAGAATTCGCAATGGCATTTTCATTCAGCGTCTTTGGAAAAGTGTTGATGACATTTCACTTCAATTTCACGATGATGGCCTCTTTTCTTTGGAAAGCGATGTTTTAAGGAATATGCTGAAGTCAATAAGGCAGGATGAGCGTCTGTACGTGTGCGATTTCTCCTTGCTAATTTTTGACGAGGTTCATCACTGTGCCAAGGAACATCCTTATAACATTCTCATGCAAACAATACATGACTATCAAGGACCGAAACCGCAGGTCAGTACTGACGTCGAAAATTTCTGCCTGTGTTTGACAGTATGGTTTATTTCAGACTATGGGCTTGACAGCTTCGCTCGGAGCAGGAGTACTTCTCAATGAAGATGCTGGAATGACGGCAATCTACGATCTGATGGCAAACGTGGGGGCCACGGCTTTGGCATCAGTCAAGCGCCATGTTGACATTCTTGCGCAGTACGTGCCAAAACCAGATGATTGTGGGTTTGCACTCTTAGGAACCTCACTTGGTTTATTTTGTGAATTTATAAGGTCTTCTCATTCATAAAGTGGAAGGTTTCATTCAAATAAAACGAAGAGGACATCAGATAAAAAGTGATTTGTTGGCTTCAAGTCGAGAGATCTTTCCGCCATCAATGACCTGCTACTAGTGTCCAGGAAGCGCTTAGACACCTAGCGTCTTCTTTTTTTCAACACGTGCGAATAAAATGTGTTGATGCCAGTTTCCGCGATCGAGAAATTGTGGTAGCATTTGCCTCTGGACGGACGTGTAAGGCGATTGAACCCAGTCGCAGTATTGTTTGTGTCCGAGCGCTGTCCAACAGTGCGGTCACACGGGGCCCGGCTTTGTCACGGGCCTTTTTGTAGTTGTGTGGTACCGTCCATTTGACGATCTGGTCGTCGAGGAACAGGCAGTATGCACCCACTGTGATGGTTTTGTTCTCTGTACAGAACCACATGAAGGTCACAGTGCAAAAGTCCATTGCCATGATGATCATCTTTTCGGGCCTAAGTAGCTCCTCATAACTGAATTGAAGCAACTTCTCATCTGCATTTATACTGACGCTTGTGAGTTTCGGCTCTGAATTCAAGACTATCCAAATTCCGTCTAGGGCCACGATGCGTTTACGGAGTGGTGAATAACGTCTTAGGTGGAGAAAATTGTTGCTAGTTATGCGTTCGTACTTCTTGTTTTGAACTGCATCACGGTTCAAATGAGGTTTTGGTGGTTCAAGTGGTAGGTTACATGTTTATTGGTAACACATAGCACATACAGCATGACTACAATCATTAAACTACAAGCATAAACATATGAGGCTAAACTACTGGCATATTCGTGTGTCAAATGCAAGTCAAAGTTGTGTTCTTGTGTTCTTCTTCAGGCGATAGCGGGTCCGCAGTGTCTTGTGTCTCGTCTCCTGTGTTGGCACATCGTGTTCGTTCTTGTCCCTATGTGCTCGTGATGTGAAAGCAGTGAAACTGAGAGGAGAAACTGTGAGGAGAGAACGAGCGAGAGAATGCGCGAGAGAATGAGCGAGACCGCCCGTAGGGCCTCAGCGCGCCACCTTTATAGCCCTGATTGTGGGTGGTATAAATACCGGCTCAGGTGGGCGGCACCAAGGCCTCCTATTGGTTGGTTACCGGCGATGAGCGAACTTTCTAGAAAATGTGCATTTGCGACCCGTGCATCCTAGTCATCATGACCAAGGGTCATGACACTTCTACAAAAAAATGAGCTACCCCAACACACTTCCTTGACACCCACAATTTTTCGGATATCGCTCGTGCAGCGGTTCCAGTAGCAGTTTCAGTCTCCCGGGGGTGCTCGACCACAGTCTATCCTCTGTGATCAGACTTTCGGCATTTGAATTCATTCACCCGCTTCTCTTGTGCAAAATTAACATTATGCGAACCGCCTCCTCCATATCTTGTTTTCGTTCTTCCGTCTTTGTAGTTCTGAGCCAAATTTTCCGAATTCTGTTTCGAGAACACCGTTATACGCAGCTATTGTCCCGGTACAGGATAAAATTGAGCAGCGCACTTTCCTCCTATGACGCCTGATTCCATAATCCGGCCTTTAAACACACGGGTTTCTTTTCAGTTTCTCGAGGTTTTCTTTTGGGGATAAGTTAGCCAATTATACGTATACGTAGCTGAAGGTGCCAGCTTCCGAGCGACTTGATCCCGCAGCCCTAGCCCCTTTGCTTTCCTGCTGTTCCTCCATATGTATGTCTACACGTTTTTGAATGGGAATACCTAATATTTTGTGAGCTTTCCCTCCTTATTATGGAAGAAAGCAATCTTAATGCTCTCATTTTGTGGTCAAATTGTCCCACTCCTGCTTCGAGCTCTTCCTTTCAAGAGCGTGAAAAAAATGCCGGAAAAAGCAAGAGAGAAGGAACTTTAAATTCGATCAAGGTCTGAGCTAATAAGCGAATGTCTACACGGTCGTTTAAGGTTATACGCACACTTGCACTCAGAGGCAGTTGGCACGATAAATCTCTAAGGGGAGTTAGGATTAATACGCCTGGCAGGACGAAATTCCGCGCCTTTTCCAAGAAAGTTACCTTTATGAGGCCCTATCAAGCTACAACACACCGACCCGGACGGCCACCGCGCGTGCCTGCTCACAAATGGACGAGCGTATGCTCTGCTTCACGAAGTGACATATGAAGCGAAGGGAATGATATGAAGCTACGGCGGTGCTGATGTATATACTCCTTATCCCTGAGTCGGGGTAGGCGTGGACATTTGGACATGGCATAGGATGGGTTACTCGTGGGATATTTCAACTCGAGACAACTGCCATCTTGTTCTATGGTGGACAGAGACATGACCACAATTGTTTCAAAATGAAAATATCTCACCAGAAGCACAGCCACCGCCACGTTTAGTTGAAGTACGCAGCCACGCCTACCGCATCCTAGGGATTTCGAGTGTATGTGAGTACATCATACACTCATATCCACAGTAGTGGTTATTGGCACGATGCCTATTGGAAACTCGTCCGAAATTGCTTTCTGAGTCGCAAAGAACGAAGGCTTTTCTTCGCAGGTTTTTGACCGTTTCACTTCGTTTTTTCGCCATTTTCCCACTATATAGCACCCTGCTAACCTTTCAGGTCGAGTGCCAATTATCGTGCCTATACCTTCAATCATTTTGTCTCCTGAAGACAGCATTCGCGATCATCCAATGTACTGGAATTCTTCAGTGTACCAAGCGGCAGAGTTCACAGGCACATAGGATATCTCATTTTTGTAGCTCGAAGCGCCTAACAGAAGCGCAACAGCTCACCGGAAAGATCCGCCAGCAAACCATGGAACAGATACCCTATCGACGGACATAGGTCTCCAATTAAAGTTCCATGGTAAGTTGACGGACTTCCCTGGTCAGCAACGAAGAGTTAGCTTCCTTTTGATCTCGTCCTACTTCGAATTTTTTTATCAAGATCCATCAGTGGTGATAATGTTACTCCTTGAAGGCAGTTGCCACGATAGTTTGCTACCCGGGTTGAAATGCTAGTAGGGCGCCATATAGTGGGGAAATGGCGAAAGAACGGAGTGAAACGGTCAAAATCCTGCGAAGAAAAAGCCTCCGTTCTCAGTGACTTGAAAATCGATTTCGGACGAGTTTCCCGTAGGCATCTTGCCAATCACCGCTACCGATATACGGCTGCATATGTGTACTCATGTATCCATGCAGCACCACGGCCGCTTCATATCAATCCCTTCGCTTCATAATTTACTTAGCAAATGAAGCGAAACGAGCATCAGGTACGGTCGTCCATTTGTGGGCGGGCGGGCGTGGCGGGCGTTCGGGTCGGTATGTTGTAGCTTGATAGAACCCTTCTACTAGGGAGGTCGTTCAGGACGTGGAGCGCTTTTTGAAAACGGTTTTTTGCATGATGTGGGGTCACGTGCATGGAGTACCAAACTGGTGTTCATTTTTCCTGAACGCCTCTGGGAATGCCAAAAATGGAGTGAAAAAGAAGTCCATGGAAACCGACTGTTTTTGAGCCTGAATGGGCTCTAAATCACTCGCAACTTCGGCCAGTTGCTGCCTATAGGGTCCTTATAAAGGTACTGGTATCGATGAGAAAAGTAGTCGCCAATGGGGTCCTACTTGTGGCACGTAGTCCCCAATTTGGAGCCAAGTCTTTCTCCCACTGGAGTCGCTATGTACATTCGTTTGAACGACTTGCAGGGCCATTCTGACGCCAGATTGAGCTGATGTCAAGAATAAGTGTCAGAATCGTGATCAGGACCATCGACT